CAGCTCTGAACCCTACTCTATCCTGAGCCAACTTTATTATCTCTGACATACCTACCCCCATAACCCCAGTCAGTGAGTCAATCCATCTCATTGAGGGTCTTCCTCTCTTGCACTGTGGAGTACTGAATATACCATCTCATTGAGAGTCTTCCTCTCTTGCACTGAAGAGTACTGAATATACCATGGACTGTTAAGAGAACAAACAGGTTTATCCCAGAGAGGGTGAAACCAGGCTGCTCCTTGGAGGCAAGGATTCTGAAGTTCCATCTGACATACTTTGGGCATGTTGCAAGGCAGGATCAGGCCTTGGAAAAGGACATCATGCCTGGGAGTGTGGAGGGACAGTGCATATAACTCCATATATATATACAAAATATGTTGAGAGTATAGATTTTTAAAAAAATATATCTATTCATGTGCATATGTACGCTTATATTTATGCAGTAAAAAAAGTTCAGAAGTGAAAATGGTAACTGAAATTTTCTCTGGTATTTGATATGATTTATTCACATTTTATTTATACTTTTCTATTTTCTTTAATGGGTATGTTTATGTCTTTTTTAGAAAATATTAAACTATTGGCATTCAAGACATGAATGTCAACAAATAATAGTAATTCTAGTTCTACCTGCATTTTTTCCTTACTAGTCGTGAAATCCCTTATATGATTCTGTGAACATTCAGCTAACTGATTAAAGTAATCGAATTTTTGTTATTTGTTATTGAAAAAGGTTCCAACAAGTATACAATTAAAAATAAGTAAATGATAATTTTTAAAATTATATTTCTGGTAAAATATTCTCCAATATCTTTTCGTGACTTGGTGGCTAAGTGTTCAGCTGCTAAAACAGTTCAATGGTTCAAACTCACCAGCTGCTTTTGGGAGGTATATTTGCAGGGTGGGAAATCCCACGGGGCATTTGTACTCTATTTTCTGGGACCACTATCAATTTGAATCAACTTTATAGCTATCAATTTGAATCAACTCAGATAATGAGTCCGACTTATGGCTTTAGTATTTAAAAGATGTTTCAATAGTTGTGATGCTTTATGTGAAAATTTAAAAAATAGTTTTATTTTTAAACCACTGTTTTGGAATCAGAAGTACATTTTAAAAATGGGTGGCTTATTTAAGGATGTTGAACCTTTTTTTTTTTTTACTTTAGCTACTATTCTCAGTTTAGAGCATTTAAAAAAATTACATTGTCAAAGCATTTTTCGTGATTCATACACAGACACACACACACACAGTGCTCACAGAACAGAGGAGAATGATTTTAGTCCCATTTATTATGTTTTAAACTTAGAGTTTTACATACCTTCACAATAGGTTAATTTGAAACTTTTTATTTGGATGCCTTAGTTTGCTAACCTGTCTCGTTAGCAAACACTGTCTGGCTCATAATATTGGTGTACATTCCATAGGGACTTAAGAGAAATCCCCACTTTTTTTAATTGGAGGTTAACAATAATAACCTTCTATTATCTTAGTCTTACCTGGAATACCTGAGATGATTCAAAAGCTGACTTATGGAGAGATATTTAAATTTCATGTATGTGTTTTGTCCCTAAATACTGGTTTATTTAACTTAGAAGGAGACATGAGAGTAGGAAATTGTGTATTTGTGTATTCAAGTTTCTTTGCAGTTTTTGCTGTATCCTTAGAGTATCATTCATTTATCCAGTAATCTTAAATATATACCATATGCCAGGCAGTATACGGAGTAGCTTTTAGGAATCGTTGGTTTGTGAAGAAGAGACACTCGTATCCATTGTAAGTGTTATTTAGGGATCAAGCAGTTTGAAACTCAAGCCATTATTTGGCTACTCACCTTTCAGTTAGCAGCTCAACAAGTAGTGTGACTTTCCAAAGCAAAACAAGAATAGCAATAGTGTTGACTTCAAAGGCCATTAAAAGTTGTAAAAGGATTGATCACTTTTTTCTTTTCCTTTTAATCACTTATTTGAGAGATTTAAATGAGACTTTGCATTTAAAGCATGTGGCACAGAATAAAGTACAAACATCACCTTTAGATCATATGAAAGCTACCTAAGTCCTGGCTATGTAGAGAATGTGCTTTAAAAAAAAAATAGATACTCCAAATGCTATAATGTTTTACACAGATTAAGCATAAGAGAGAGATGACAATTTGTCATTTAAGTGAACATTTTTAGGTTCCAACCAACACAGACACATGTGCTCAGCTTTTTAGTCATGTTTTCCAGGCGACAAAACAGTATTGAAACACAGTACACTCGTTTTATTTCTTTTTTTTTTTCTTGTTGTGTACCATGCAATCAGATCTGACTAGTACAGGAGGAAACTTTCCTCCTTCTCCAATGGAGCATCTAGTGGATTCGAACAGTGTGCCTTTGGGATTACAGTGCGACTTCTTGCCACTAGGCTACTAGAGCGCCCTGACAAAACACAGTACACTCGTCAGGTTGGCTTCTGTAAAACAGTTTTGGAGGCTAACTTAACCCTCATTTGTTTAGGAGATGAGTTTTAAAAATACTACTTGCAACTTTCTTTCTCTCTTTTTTTTTTAATGTATGTACTGTCAAATCAGATCTGACTGGTACAAAAGGCGATTGTTCCACCTTCTTCAGCAGAGCATCTGGTGGATTTGGACCATGCAGCTCTGGGATTGCAATGCAGCTTCTTGACACTAGACCACCAGAGCTGGCCAACTTTCTCTCTCTTGAAAAGCAGTATCTCCTACTTTGCTGCTATTCAAAGTCTATTATTATCATTACAGTTCCCTTAACAGAAAGGAACAAACTTTGCAACCCTAAGAATCCAGGGCATCATCAGAGTGGCCAATCCATAGTTAAAATGTTTGTTGGTATTTTATGCTTGTTTATCTGTTAGAATGTGTGCTGCACACACACAATGCATCTAAAAGTTGGACAGTGAATAAGGAACTCTGAAAAAGAATTGAAGCCTTTGAATTGTGATGTTGGTGAAGAGTATTAAATATACAATCGACTGCCAAAAGAACAAACAAGTCTATCTCGAGGAAGTATAATGACAGTGCTCCTTAGAGGCAAAGACGGTGAAACTTTATCTCACACACATTGGACATCTTGTCAGGAGAGGCCAGGCCTTGGGAAAAAAAGACATCTTGCTGGAAAAGGTAGAGGATCAGTGAAATAGAAAGACCTTCAATGGGATGGATTGACACAATGACTACCACAATGGACATGAACTTGGTGCAGATTGTGAGAATAGGGCAGGATAGGGCAAGGTCAGATCTGTTGTCCATGGATCACTATGAATCTGAGCTAAATTGACAACACAACAGCAACAACATATATGTGTGTGTTCATATGTGTGTGTGTCTATACACACACAGTCATAGCTATGAATTTCCTTTTAATATAGAGGTGTTTTAAGGTCCTTAGCTCCAAATTAAGTTATAACTCCAAGGAAATACAGTGGAATTCATATTTTACGTAAGAACACTTCTGCGTACTCCTAGATTAGTTATATACTAATGTGAAAAGCATAGGGAATTAATGTTGTTTTGGGTTTTTTATAAAAAGAGTGCTCTTAGTCAAGATTTCCAAAAGACAGAAGGAGGAGAGATAAATCAACATTACATTTCTTGCCTAGAGGTTAATTTTCCACATAGAAAATTCTTGCTGGCAATTTAGGGTCACATTAGGCTAACCACTCAGCCAGCTTAGTCTGGGGTTTTGGAAAGCACAACCATAAATTGGTGAGGCTCAGAAAGGGATGAGTGTGCATATATTTGTAGATGCCCATCTTTATGATCATGGGACTAGTCATTCATTTTAGTTACTAGATATAAATGATATAGATACTAGATAGTTTACTAGATATATAGATGTAAATACTAGACCAGAGAATGAGTTCTTTAAAATAATCTCAAAATGTTTGCCTTTACAAATGGCTCATATCTGCTGTTTATTAACACAAAAACATGTAAAAGTCCTATCCATGCTGTTTGTGCAAGAAAGGGGTGTTGGCATGTACACAAACAGCCCTGCTTTTACCATTGCAGGTGGACAGTATCTGACAATCCCAGCAGCCAAAGGCCCAGGGGGAAAAGCTGCTCGCTTGGTACTACCTCTCGGCCACCTCATGCAATCAGGGGACCTGTGTCTGTCGTTCAGGCACAAGGTGACTGGGCTGCACTCCGGCACACTCCAGGTGTTTGTGAGAAAACATGGTGCCCATGGAGCAGCCCTCTGGGGAAGAAATGGTGGCCATGGCTGGAGGCAAACCCAGATCACCTTGCGAGGGGCTGACGTCAAGAGCGTAAGTAGAACCTCGAAGGAGGCAGAGCCTGGGAGTTTTCCTTTCATAGGAAAACTCTGGGATCTGAACTTGAAGAAGCCTGGTCTCTTCATTAATTCAGTCAGACAAAGGTTTGGGTTGACTCTTTGTTTGGGTTTTTTTTAGTGTATGGGTATCATGACTTCATTCATTGCTGCTCTCTGTAATTCCTTTCTGCTCCTTTATCCTTTTTCACTGCAATCTGCCTCTCCTCTCCTCACTTATCCAGGCAAGGCTTCTCTTTTTTTTTCAATGGAAAACAACAGTTTTGGAATAGAGTAAGTGGGAGACAAAAACAAAAACTTGAAAGGGGAAGAGTGATGAGCCTAACCATATCTATTTCCCTTCATCTTCAGTTTTTTTATATTTCAGATTTGTACTTCTATGCTTTACTCTGAAAGTGCTTTGTATTTCTTCTCTGGATTGTTTCTTTAAAATTCTGTTTTCTTTTCCTTGACCTCAGAGATCATAGTTAAGCAGCCTTGGGTGGGAACCCAACACAATACCCATGGGAAGCAGTATTCTATTCAGGACAGGGTGTGTTCAAAGCTTCCACTGAAATATATAAATTGTATTCAAGTTAATCAAGTAGCAAGATAAATGGTCTGTAAATCCATGAAAGACGGTGACTGTATTTGGATCAAGGCAAAGGTCATCTTTATGTTGATTTTTAAGCATCTTTGTTAGAAGATTCTATAAATACAATCTTTAGAAACTGTTTTAGAAAGAAGCTGGAGACTGTTAGTACAGCCTTTAGAAGTGGGTTTTGGATTTTGCTTTACTCTGATTTTTTTCCCCCTTGGATTTTTTAATTACCATTTATATCTTGTGGAAATAAAACAAAATAGTAAATGATTTCAAATCATGATATTGAAAGGTCTCCCCTCTCTTAGAGAAGCAGGGATGCTCTATGAAACCAACTCATAGTCGACCTTCCAGCAGGTTTTCAGAGGCTATAAATCACACAGGTGGAGATAGCTCATCTTTCTCCCACTGAGCAGCTGGTGGATTTGAACTGCCTTTCTTAGGGTTGGCAACACAAGTCCTTACTACTAGGCCACCAGCACTCCTTTATCACAGATAAAATAGAACACTAGTAAAAATTTTTGCTTTTTATATAGATAAAATATTGTTATTTGATTATTGTGCTTGGGTTCTTTGGGAGTTTCCTATTAATTCAAAAGAAGAACATCAAAGACAGGCTGCATAATTATGATCTTCCAATTATTTGGCTTTTAATTTCTGCACTTTTAGTTTCCATCACACGCTTCTGACTTTTAACCTTGGTGACAGTAATCTTTGGCACAAGTGTCCACTACAAAAAACGTTCTTAAATTAAGGCATTCTGAGTGGGTTTTTAAAAAGTAACTTGTTCTGAGCAATGTGGAATGACCAAGAATTGGTGATTTAAACTTCTAAAAAGTGAGTCCTTTTTTTCAGTAATAGTGGAATCTGTGTTTGAGTTTTTCCTTCTGAAGAGAAGTTTAATAGTTAGCTGTTACAGAAGGTTTGCTCCTTGAGTGGACATTGGGAAGGGGTGGAGGAGCTTGACTGGTGTATGCATTCTCTCCCTAGGTCATCTTCAAAGGTGAAAAGAGGCGTGGTCACACTGGGGAGATTGGATTGGATGATGTGAGCTTGAAAAAAGGCCACTGCTCTGAAGAACCCTTGCAACTCCAGAACTAGCAGTGAACTCCTATGTTGCTCTCTCTCTTCTTTTTCCAATTCTCACCTCCTCTCCTCTCCTCATTCTTACCAGGCCTAGGAGAAGAGTGGGTCAGGAGGGAGTCTGGTTGGTGACTCACATCTTGTTGGCCTGGTTTTGTGCAATCCCAATGAACAGTTAAACCTTCCTGGACATATAAGGGGCATCTGTAAACACATCCCAGCCTTTGTTCAGTGTTCCCTCCCATCCTGTGTTGTTTTCGTATGTGTAATCCTGACTACCTTTCACTCTGGTCATAAGGTGCTCCTTAGGGAAAATTACGGGAGAAGTTTTCAAAAGAAATCTTCTGTGCAAATGGCCACATCCTCTTATCTGTTCAGTGTTGTACCAGATTAGTATTGATGAGTAGTATTGACTCTCTTTAAGATATGATATATAATGTGCTTGTGAAATTGGTCTATTCTCTACATTTTAAGTTCATTCTGGCTTGGGCCTGAACTCTGACTTCTGCCATTTACTTTATAAAAGAAGGGTGTGTAACATACCAAGATGCATTTATTATTACCTTATTTAGTATATTTCTATTTTATTTGCAATTGTGTAGAATGGGCACTAAATCCCTTGTTAGTAGTAGTGTACTTTGTGAAAATGTGTTATGGATATTAAGTATTTACATGTTCCTAATATTTAAAGACTCTAGTTGCAAGGTAAAAGGCAGCTTATGATCTTTGAGTTAAAAAATACGTAGTGAAATATCATTCAGTTTCATGACTATACATTGGAATCAAGAAAAAAAATTAAGTTTCGGGTTGTGATTGTGGAATGATTTTTTTTAGAAAAAGTCTCTATAAAAGTAAGCCATTCAGGTAGACCAGAAACTATAATTAATACAAGCAGTCTTTCCTATTTTATGTTACAATTTCAACCAACAGTTTTTACAATTTATGTGCCTCTCTCTGTAAGATGCATTATAAACATTTTTATTGTTTTATAGAGGTGATTCTGTGTGTGGAAACAGGCCAAGGGCACACCATTGGAATAATTTTTTAACTACTAATTTTGATCAATATACATTTAGGCAAATCTAGTTAATAATTTATGTGCTATCATGTCAGGTTAAGATAAAAAGGAAGTCTTATACTTTGAGGCATTCGATGTTGGAATAGGATTTACATACGTTACCAGAGCAGATGATATTGAAGTAATAAGGTCCATGAACCTGAAACTCGGTTTCCTCTCTGCATGTTTTATTTTCTTTCTTTTTTATTTTTAAATACTTGTTAAAGGCAACTCAATCCTGAGGAATTTTTTTTCCCATTTCACCTCAAGTAACCAAAATATTTTCTACTGTTTTTGCCAGGAATCACAAAGATGATAAAAGGGTTGGAAAAAAAGATCTATGATGAAAAGTTAAAGGAACTGGGATTATTCAGCCTGGAGAAGAGAAGACTGAGGGGCAGATCATTGATGGTTTTCAAGTGTGTGAAGGGTTGGTATGGGGAGGAAGGCAACCAGCTGTTCTCCATATGCACTAAGAATAGAACAAGAGGAAGCAGGCTTGCGCTGGAGGATGAGGGAGCATTTCCTGGCAGGGATAGTTGTTAAAGAAGACTCCTTTTATAAAAAACAGTGGGAATTGTCTTGAGTCTTTTTTAAACAAGAGATAAAATGATATCTATCTTAGATGGCTAAAGGTGTTCTTACCTTGTCTCCCTTGAAGAAAATATCTTGATCTTAATAAGTCATTGAGTGATTCAATGAAGATCATTTGGGTTAGATCAAGATCTAGTTAAGCATTTCCCTATTGCATTTCTAATGATAAGTCATAGTTAAGGCTCAAAAGGCCTGTCAAATAGTGAAATCACTAAAATGTCCCTCCACTTACAGCAAATCTAACAGTATTAAAATACAAAGCAAAAAAGAAAGAGGAAATTCAGAAGATATTATGCTGGATATTTTTATATCTCACTAATACCCTAATTGTCCTTCCCCTTCCCCAGTAAAGGTTTAAACCTTTGACTTGTTCAATGGATAATGTTTCAGTTTTTCAGAGACCTTGGCAAGGGACATAGTTTAGAGTTGTTTTTTTCCTCCTGGTGCAATTTCTCTGCTAGGGACAGGAGAGAATTAACTTGAGTACTAAAAAATACTACCCTTAGGGCTTTTCTTCACCTAATCAGTATATTTCAGTTTCTCTTATCTATTGCAATTTTTCATTTCCTACAGAACCATAATGTGTGTGTGCGCGTGTGTGTGTATGAGAACACTATGTAGTAGAATGCCTTTCATAATTTAACTTGAGATGTATAGGGGAGGGCGAGAAGGTTAGAGGGGGAAATAGAAATCATTGAAACTTTGAGTAGGGGCCAGAAAATATGTCTTTACATCCACTTTTTAATGATTAATTTCCTTTTGGTCATATAACTGCACAGTTGAAGAACAAAGGGGGAAATAATTGAAAAATTTCACTTTTAGGTGCCAATAATACATTGCACTAAGCTGATGGAAGAAGTTATCCAAAGTACTGTATAACATCTTGTTTATTATTTAATGTTTTATAAAGTGAAAAATGTTAGTGGTTTTCCAAAATGGTCAAATAAAAAGAATTCTTTGTAAATTAAAACACTGCGAATGATACCTATTGTCTGTTTCTTATTGGTTTGAGATTTCTTCTTCACAATTAGAAGAAAGAAATTTGGACTAGTTCATTGATGGTTTCACAAAAGTGACATATCCTAAGACCACTTTATAGTTTTTAAGACTGGAAACTACATTGTTACGGTATCTTCACCATGAAACATGAGACTTTAAAAAAAAAAAAAAGCATTCACAGGGAAAGAGATCAGAAGCTCCTATGTCTTAATTAGCGAGTTGCCTTGTGTTTTATTTTATAATGCTTAGTGGTAAATCTCTGTCTTAAATCCTTTTATGGGAAGACAAGGAAATCTATAAGTAAGTACATTAATACATGTTGTTCATAGGGTCACTATGAGTTATACTCAATTTGATAACATCTACAATAGCAACAAATGTTATATAACCTTTCATGGAAGAACTACATAAAGAAATTAATGAAACCATGCAAGACTAAAAGTTAGTCCAATGGAATTATAGAGGATGTGTTCAAGGGCTACTTTCTCTATAACACTAGAGCACCTTTAGGCACTGAGAGATTCAACTCTTACATAACTGCATTCTTCTTGCATAAAGGTAAAGAAGAAAACCAGGCTTTCAAGCTACTTCACTCTCATTCAGTCCTCTGATGAAAATTTATCTTTCCATCCCAGATATATTAAATCAGAATCTACATTTTAGCATGATCCTTAGGTGATTCTTATGAGACAGAAAGGCAAATTCTCAACAGAGATTCAAACTGAAATGAACCAATTGGATGCTTGGAGGGAAACTTGCATTCCCCTCCCCGCCCCCATCTTTCATAATCATCTCAAATCTGAAAACATTTATGTTTTCTAAGTTGTATTTATTAGGATGTAAACCTCTTCTGAAATCCAGTTGAAATTGGTGGGAGAAGCTGAGAAATACAGGATTCCAGAGTCCAGTTCATTGATTGACTTAGAGGCTTTTAGAACACCTATGAAGGGTGGGTGAAAGAGAGGAAGACCACCAATGAGATGGATTAGCACAGTGACTTCAGCAGTGGCTCCAGTGTGTCAGAGATGGCAAAGATGGCGTAGGATAGGGCAGGGTTCAGGTCTGCTCTTCATAGTGTTGCTATGATAGGTTCTAGACTGGAGGGCACCTAACAACTACAGCTGTGTGTATGAAGATCCCTGGTGAACAAATGATGATGTGCGAAACTGCTGACAGAAAAGTGGTCAGCTGAAACTCACACAGCTGTCTGCAGGAGGAAGACCTGGCAGTAAATTCCTTTAAAGAGTGCACGCTAGAATGTCTTTTGGGGCAGTTCTTTTCCACACAGTTACTGTGAATGTACATCGACTCAAGGACACCAAACCACTATGCACCTGACTTGGGGTGTAACAGGAACCGGGTTTGCCATAGTAGAAAGCAAGATGAACATTTGTTAGAGTCATGCAATTCAGTGCACAATTTCTACTCTGAGTAAGTAGTATGTAGAGCCTGGAGGACTCTGAAGGCCATGATTAAGTTCAGACCTTAAAAACCAAGCCAATTGCTTTGTGGTTAATTCTAACTCATGTCAACCCCAGGTATGTCAGTTCAATAAAAGTATGTATTCAATAAAATTTTCTCAAAAAAAAAAAAAAGAAGAAGAACTGGACTCAATAAAGTTTTCATTGACTAAGTTTTCAGAAGTAGATCTCCAGGTCTTCTGTCTAGAGTGCCTTTAGGTGTACCTGAACCTTCAACCTTTCTGTTCTCAGCCAAGCACATATGTACCACTCAAAATAAACTTACTGCCATTGAGTAAGTTGTGACCCAAAGCTACCCTCCATCAGGTTTCCAAGGCTGTAAATGAGAAGAAATTGCCCATCTTTTTCCGTCAGAGAAGTGGGTGGATTTGATGTGCCTTGGATTAGAATAGCCACCGAGTGCTTGTTGCTCTTGCTGAGTACTGTCGAGTCAGAATCCACCCATAGCTGTCTCTCCAGCAAGTTGTGAAAGGCAGCAAATTGCACGGGAGGAGATTGCCCATCTTTCTCTCACAGAGCAGCTGGGGATTCAAACCACATACCTTTCCTTTGGCTTCTTAATTCCTTACCATTCAACCCCCAGAGTGTTTGGGGACTTGAAAATAACAACCATATGGATCACTTGGGCAGCTGCTGAGTGACAGACGGAGGCCGAAGCTTGAGATCCTGCGTTTCTGACCTGCTCTCAGGTATTGCTAGTGCTACTTGTCCTGGAGCCCCAGTTCAAGTTGTTTGTTGTTGTTGTTATGTGCCGTTGAGTCGCCTGCGACTCAGCGACCCTATGTTCAACAATTCAAGTTCAAGTAGTAAGGCCTTAATTATAATACCATTGTTGTTAATGTGCCATCAAATTAGAACCGACTCAGCTGAACCTCCAGCATGTTTTCAGACGTCGTAAAATCACACAGGAGAACAGCCAGCTTTCCCCTGCAGTGCAGTTGGTGAATTTGAACCTGTGCCTTGGGGTTGCCGGCACAATTCCTTACCACTCAGCTCCCAGGCTCTCTGATGATAATGTAATTGTTGTTTGTTGTGTACCATCGAGTCAGAACCGACCCATAATTGACCCACCAGCGGCTTTTCAGAGGCAGTTAATCACATGGGAGGAGATCGCCCATCATCGTGCAGAGCAGCTTGTGGATTCAAACTGCATGCGTTCAGGATTGCAGTGCAGCTTCATTGCCACTAGACCACCAGTGCTCCCAATATGTAATGTGATAAAACTGTGGTTAGGCAAAGAGAAACAAAAAACCCACTTCAAACTAATTGTCGTACACTGGGCTTCTAAGGGTGTGAATTGCACAGTAGGAGATTGCTCCTCTTTCTCTCCTGAAACCAC